GGGGGTGGGGCGCGCGCAGCGCGCCGTGCCAAAAACACTTGCGACTTACGTGTTTAATCAACTTTCTCAGCCTGTATCTCCGAAACTATTTGAGTCCCCCCCTTATATATATATATGAAATGACTCGGGAAGACATCCCCAACAACATATTTAAAAATAAAACAAATCGGAGAGGAAGTCGCTTTTATGCATAATTACCGAAATTTTTCCTAAGCTATATTGATCTGGAAAAAAAAAAAGTGAAACGTATAAGTGATAGTACCTTAATATTGCCGTGAATGTTGCTTTTGCTATCCATAAAATTGTCATCATTTTTTAATGGGTCAGGTGCTGCGTGGAAAGTGGAAAACGATGATTTAGCTATTACTCCATTTTATACCTTTCCAACAAAGATTAAAGCGTGTTAGTGGTTCGGAATGCAACCACAAACGTAAAAACAAATGAAAAAAAAAGAACTATTACTTCCGCACAGCCGAAAGTTATGTGAATTGCAAAACCGGACGAATTTCCAAGCGTGCGTTTAAAAAGTTACGTTAAAAAAATTTTTGCGTCTCTAAACTGCGTGTCTGCAGCAAGTTCAATAATAAATAAAGACAATTGTCCATTGCAAAACTGTTATAACCGTCTACAAACTATTTTACAAGCGCGTACTTGTAAATCAAACCTGAGTTCTTTGATGAGATTTGCTGACCAGTGCTGTCCTCCGACCACGACATGTGATCTTTATTCTGCTGTGCCAGACCCAGCTGTGATTTATTTCTTTGCACCAGTGCACGGCCTATCACTTTGTCATTATCACTTGAAACATTGCCATTTAGACTCTCAAAACCATCGTCGTCCTGATGTACATTTGCTGCATGTTCCTCCGGCACATCATCTGTCGCAAACGGGGAGAAAAGGATATTAAAACTGTACCCCAAAATCTACGAATGTGCAGCTAGAGTCCCTCCAATCAGAGTCTGGCCAACAGTCCAGTTTCAGCAAAATGATGCGAGAGAGAAAGAAATATATTTCCTCTCACTCTACATACAGCATATACACTATGTAAACTGCGAGAGAATATATTTCTTTCTCTCTCGCATCATTTTGCCGAAACTGGCCTGTTGGCCAGAATCTGATTAAAGGGATTCTGTGTGTAGCAAACAAGCAGTAACCTCTTTACCTTCCTGTTCGCGATTAGCTAAACTTTCATTCGAGGGGTCAGAATTTTCTCCAGTTGTACTTATCGATTCTTTGTCATATACTACTTGAGCACTCGCAGGTTCCTAAGTGCATAAGAAATTTTTTAAGCGCACGTGCACGCAACACTTTGATAAATATTGCAATTTTGAATATTCACCTGAGATTGGCTGACGGTCGAGGAATTCTGGATCACGACTTTCTTAGCGAATCTTACCGCGGTGAACACTTCTTCGCTTCCTGTACTCGCTTTCTCAGAAGTCATGTCTTGAGAGGGTTTCGAATCCTTATGTACACCTTCAGAAAAGATTTGTGCATATTACAAGGATGTGAATGACAAACGATACAGTTTTGTATTATAGTATTTACACTCGGAGGACAGCCATAGAAAATGTACTGAAAATATATGACGTGCTCTCTGCACCATTGCACTACTTACGTAAATTCTGCCTAGGCCTCGATTTCCCATTTCTGCACCTAATGTGTCGGGAGCGTCTCGTTATTCGTTGCCTGGATTGATTGTACGTCATAGTAGGACCCGAGTGTGTCGAGACAATATGGGAATGAACAATGCACAGGACAAACATCATGACAACAGGTACTAATACTTCTGACATTGACACAATCTGAAACAGACAGGACAGTCAGGATGGATAACGACGGCGACATGTTTGCAGAGGAACGACAAATTTCTCATACTTCTGCCTCATTTTCCCTGCTTGCGTAAACGTAATACAGGAAGATGTTGATCGCCTGCAAGCTGTACAGTAACAAGAAAAGCACAAAAATGCGATAACTCGTTTGCTGTATCCACCATTTTTTGTACAATGGGAGGAACAGGAGTCGCTGAAACGCTAGGCAAGCTACTGTCAACAAGCCATGCTTCGGCTTGGCTTTTGGAAATGAAGATCCTGTTTACATACATTATATTACGAATCAATACACATGCCTATATCGAGAGGAATATTATATGCACATTACTTGATAAAAGTCTGAGCACATTTCTTAAAAGCGGTATTATTAGGATGAAATAAATTGTCACGTTTCATTAGATTATCTTTGCAATGATGAGAAACATGGTTTACATGAGGAGCTAACAAACAAAAGCTTGTAAGCAGCAAACTGGAATTCCACAATTCTGTCATTTTCAGTCCGAGGGGGAAACCGCTGAGGGCATTGTGGTGTACAGATTTCCGATATTACTGGGCATTACTAGGCAATTTTTGGGCATTAATTGGGCATTATGAAAATAAAATAAGGTAAAATAAAATAATAAGATAAAGTAATGCCCACTGGGCATTAGTGGGCATTGATGTACATGATTTTGGTCAGCGGTTTACCCCTCGGTCCTTTGTTTAAAATCATTCTTTTCACGTCATAGATTTTCAGTACACTTTCTACGGCTGTCCTCCGAGTGTAAATACTATAATACAAAACTGTATCGTTTGTCATTCAGCGAGAAATTATTAAACTTCCGTATCGCTTTGTGTCTCTGAAGTAATCTGAATTAAAAGTTGCTATCGTTCAATTGCGGCGGGGACAAATTGTGACTCATAGAAACATATGCACGAGTGTACATTATGCGGTCAGAGAGCTAATTTTAGAAGCTTATTATTTACTTTCTAACTCAGAATAAAATGCAGAGTGTGCTTAGACTTTTGCCAAGTGCGATATATCTATGTACACGGCTGTTAATATCTTCGCAGCGTACCACGAACGAGGTCCACGTCAATCAGTTCAGTTTTAAGCTTCGTTGTTCTCATCGGAACATGCGTAAACCCATCAAGAATATGCTGCTCTATGGTTCTCTCCCATTGCTGCTTGTCGTACGTTCCAATCTTCTTTTGATACCTGAAAAGATTTACTTCTCACTACTCCAGTTACCACATTCGTGCCATTTCTAGTCTTGTATCGTCTCCACATCGTTGCCTTCCAACAGAAGACAGTTCCCTCTATTAAGGTGAGTCCAGACATGTGTCGTATCACCGTATCGTATCATGGTCGCCTTTTATCACGATACGGCTGATTATGACGACGCGGCAGGGTTTTCAGCTCGTATCCGTATCATTTATCCGTATCTTGATTTTAGTTTTCCACCTACAGTTCGTATCATTTCACGTCGCCTACCGCGATGAAGATCGGGAACGCGTCTGCACTGCCAGTATCTGTATCACGCATCTTTTCTTCGATGTTTCGGTAAAACACGGACTCCAAATGTATCATACTTTTATCGTATCTGCGTATTAAGATGATACGCAGATACAATACAAGATACGGATACGACGTACCGTCCACACTAAGCTCACTCTGATGCGCGATCATGATACGATACAGTGAAACGACACTTGTCTAGACTTTGGAGATAGCAGGTTCTTCAACATAAAAAAATTCAGTCGCAAATCTTTTTTTCGCGACGATTACACGACCTAATAATGAATTTTTCACAGATCTCACTGCGAGGGCAACAAATTCACGGTGAAACGGACGACGTTTAGCAGAAACCCCGCTATCTCGTATTAGGAGCTTGACTTGTAATAGGGGACTTTCTTCTATTGACGCCCAGACCAAAGTGTCCGGGTTCGGGCAGTCGTGCCGCCGACAAATACGTCAAATTTCAGACAGCTAGTCAAACAAACTCGACAGGATTTCTCACCAGTGAACCAGTTCGTCGAGACCCATATGGACCAGACGCATTACAGTGGCAGCTCGGCGACAACGGTGCTTCCTTGGTCGCGACGGAAGCACAATGAGCAGCAACCGACGCGAGGTAACCGAGTACAAACTCCCCGTGAAATTCTATACACGGACAATCAGCAGAGCTAGTCAGAGTAATATTATCACGTCATATCGCGTCGCATCTACGCGCGACACGCTGCGACGGATTCTCGCTCTCATTTAGCATTCGTCCGTAGATTGGTTTGCCTCAACAATCTCGCATCGTCAGCATACGTGCGACACATCGAACTAGCTGGGCCTGACTGCAAGATGGAACGATTTGGCGCACACACGACAAAGCACAAAGATCCACGGGCCTGAGTGGACGGAACATAACACCGAGGCGTATTATGATCGCCCGGTTGGGATCCGGGGCGAGGGAGAAAGATGGCGATTCTGCCGTCGTAATTTTCTGGATAAACAGGGTAGCAACGATTTTAGATGGCGGCACCGACGCAATAACTGCGCGTTCAGCAATCGGACCGCTTATATTAAATGTGATGGAAAGAGATGTAAACCGCTAACGTCCATTTCTACCAATATAGATTAATCTTGTTTAACTCAAATTAATCTGTTCTATCATTATTGCTGAAGTATGTTTTGATCGTTGGTTCTCGTTTGTTAATTACAGGTAGGCTTTTTCAAGAGAACGACGAAGGAAGAGTTTTTCGCTAATAGTATGACAAGGTATGAAATCATACGTAAAATTGGTAGATTAATTAATTACGCTGAGATTTAACGTGAAATAACTCGCTTACAGGTAACAGAAAACGTAGAAAAAAGAACATCCGAATAAAGGAGACGTTTTCGTACAGTTTCATACATGTATTTTCACGTAAATTGGCATACTCTCTTATATAATGTAGGTTTATATAAATAAGAAACAATTTATGTATAAAATATTATTTCTCTATTCATACTACACGGTTAAGTATTGTGCAAGCAATTCTTAATTATATCGACGACACTTATTAATAGAGGTATTTACATTATGTACAATTTTATGTATAATTCCTCTCTTTTTCCTTCTTATGCGAGACAAGAGTGTTTTTTTGTTATGTAACATTAATAACAGTAGAAGATCTTATCCACTTGTACGCGTTTTACAAAATAAAAGTATCTAATCGTCTTTGTACAAATCTACGTAAAGAAGAACATGTTTTTCGATCACATGTGAGATTTATAAATTCTGTTTATAATAAATGTATACAATAATCTCTGTAATATTTCGCGTGTCTTTATCCAGTCAAAATACATGCATACATTTTTTTTTAAATTAAAACTATCGCATACGAGTATGTGAGTATAAATGATTTCTTTTTGCCTTATTATTTAAGGCGCCTACGATATTGAAATAATTAATGCTACTACGCGAGTTGTTGTTAACAGGTGGGTGAGATACCGTTGAAACATATTTGACAACACATCCGCACATCATAGATCACTTCTGGCTTTTAAGCGCACTTGAGTGCTTGCAGTTTCCAGGGGAATGCAGACAATTCCTTGCAGCTATTCCCACTGTGACGATGTAAGCTACGCGCCTACCCCCATACGATATCGTAGGGATGTAAGCGACAATGTGCTTAATCAACTGTTGTTCACCCTCGCAACAGACTTATTCACCTCGTTCTAGGAACGAAGTCTACGTCCTTCCACCATGCCATGATATTGCCTGACTATAGATGATATTTGGGATTAGTTTTCTAACACGAGTCACAACGAGTGGTTGGACTTCGAGTTAAGAATCCCATTCAGAAACACCAGGACATTGTTCTCGAGTTGAAAATTTTAGAACATCATCCCGGTACGCGACGTTTCTGGCTGTTCGTTGGATGTGTGCATATGTATTTTCGTATGTATGTGGAATGTAATCCACATCCTCAATAAGATAAGAACTGAAAGTTGTATTTCGCATATACGTAACGCTACATATATTGCGAAAAGAAAATTGAACCCGTCATAAATACTATTCTCTGATCGAATAATTTATACTCACATAATGTAAGCGAACTCTTTTTCACCTACATGCCTAGCGACTTATGCATAAACCTGTATCATATAACACTATTTACAATTTTAAAAAAGCTATTCAATTGCGTTTGTATCGACGTACATATTAAACGACAATTTTGAGAAACCATTATACCTTATCAAATTGCCCTAGTCTTTAAATATCGTTTGATATACCTATATTATAAATACTCGAAACTTCTTTTACATCTAAACTTGTATATAGAGATCTGAATTTTTTATCTATCCTGCGTAATAAATTATGCAATTAATAAGATACGTACTCACAAGTAAAATAGGCAATTCTTGAAATTTTTTTCTTATAAATAAAAATAGAAAAACTTATTATTCTGTATATGTATTTGTTACTATTTATCATTTCTTACCATGTATATCGCGTTTTGTATAAAAAAATTTTAAAAAGTTCAAAAATTGCCCATTTTTCAAGTATTTTTGAGCAAATACCCCTTTGATAGTGCAAAAACCTAAATTTAACCAGATAGGATCCGTTTTACGATAGGATTACAGCAAAACGAAGTTAAGTTCTAGCAAAATTCTCCAAAGTATGTACTCCTGTTTTTTTTAATAACGAGTTATTTTTAACATTTAAACACTTGCTTTGTTTACTTATACTTGTTTTTATATAATTTTGATCAGTTATTATATAATACTAATGTAAGGGAAAACATTTGTAAAATAAATCATAAAACGAATCCTATCTGTATTAGAAAAATTAAATATTAGATATGCAAAAAGAACGTTTTTTTTTACTTAATCTTTTAGATGTAAAATTTCTTAAATTAACTGTTCACAATGATGTTAGATACAATTAGGAGAATATTATGTTGTTTGTTATAGATACAAACGGAAATCTTTTTAATTAGAGAAAAAGATAGATACTTTTTACTTTTGTGTACAAAAAATATATGTGCATAATATATAGACTCCAACTCGCCTATATAATATATCAGGCAACCAAGAAAGTTCGTGCGGTTTTTAAAACTGCCGCTACTTCTCGTGCTGTAATAATCCTATCTACCGCTAAGGGTACATATATTAAACATTTTCTGAAAGTTTATTTATCGGCACGTCGGCCAACGTAGAGAACAGA